AAATTTTTATATGTTAATTTTTTTTTATATTTGCAATCAATATAGTATTTTAGACGTACTAGTCAACCAAAGTTGTGAATATGGAGGGCGCGTAATTAGAATGTCTCTACATTAACATGAATTCTTATCTATTCAATGTTGTTTACAGTTTTCACAATTGAATTGTAGTTAAAATTATGTAAATCTTATCCTTAAAAAGCCGCTATATTTCATCTAAATTTCTTAACAAAAATGTTAAATGTACAGTCTTTTTTACAGCCCCTTCACATGGGAGTGGGGCCGGCGATTGTGAGCCCCACAGATATCGACGACCGATGATATGATTGGAGATTCAATGATTTTTTAGTCGTGTATACTAATGAAGATGTATTTGATAATTCGAAATAAGAAAGTGTGATGTACGATAATTTTTTCATTAATTCTTAACTTAATTTTTAAGAATACCTGGCTCCACCACGATGAGGTCGTGGACTGTTTTTGTTAAATTAGTTATGCTACGCGATAAATTGTCTAGGTTAAGTCCCTATTTAATTTGATCCTAAAAAAGTTGGTTAGTGGGTCCCAAGCCATGCCGACCCGAAAATCAGTTGTATGTGTATGTATCTTTATTTAAGATGAAAAGCAGGGCAAGGGACTAAATTCAGTGGGCGGCGGCTTCAAGTTTTAACTGTTTGGTCAGCCTTACCAGAACTGGATGGGACCACGTGAGCGCAGCCTTGGAGATTGAAATATCTTTTAACTACTATTCAGTATTCATAACTTCTTTGCCTACTTTTTTTTCAATTTAAGTTTTGAGAGAATTTTACTTTATTACTTCTAAATTCGGACAACACTAATGTAAGTATGTAACGTACATAGATAAATTCACTATGTTGCCCATAACTAGGCACTTAATCCTCGTTTCGTTTTTGCTAAAAATCATATCTTGTCAACCTCTCTCTTCATCCTCAACTGATAGTGCACCTACCAATATTACTAGCCTTTACATAAAAATAAGGGTAAGAAGCAATTTATTCATCTATGAATAGCTTGTCGATCGTTGCTCGATCACCGTCTTCTAGTTCAAAACAGAGGTGAGCTTTTGGCTCCCTTTTTTTTTGAGTAACACTTGGCCCTTGAAGAGTATTTGCCCTTTCTATCAAAGATGGAATGAGCTTTCAAAAAAAAAAAATTATCATTAGGCCCAAATTTTTAATAAATAAAACACATGATTAAAAAAAATAAAAATTGTGAGTTGTATGATTGAAAATGAATTTAGTGAAAAATGAGTTTGGAAAAATAAGAACTAAAAAGGGACTTAATTTTTTTTACTCAACAATATCATACTTTCGATTAAAAAAATACGACGTGCACTGTGTTGAACATGTTAATTATACAAAAAAAATTTATTCAATCTGATAAAGTAAATACTCAATTTAAGTGATTCAACGTTAGACTTAGTGTATCACTTGACACGTAGAGACATGAAGCTTAGAGCTTAACGTTTTAGGCATATGTTCTTATTAGTAGAAGGATCGATTCAATTTCTTGACAAATAAATAAATAAATAAATTTAATGATATGTGTTCCATAGAAATACCTTTTCATTTTCAAAATTAACCTATTTACCTTAGTATTTGGAGTTTAAAAAAATGAAATAAATGTTTATTCTTGAGTAGTCACTAGTCAACCATCAACACTCGTCATTTCCTTTTCATATTTCTATGGTGCAATTGGCACCGTGTAAAATAATAAACTAAAATATAAAGGCGTTCATATGCATCATGAATTAAGCAAGATTGATCCCCTCAAACCAACTTGGTCCCACAAAGATGTCCAAACGCCTACCATCAAATATTATTTTAACGTAAGATTTTTACAATTAACTAATAAGAACGTGCCAACATGTGATTCCTAATATTTAACGGACCAAATTACGGGATCTCGCTATTCCTGAATCTCACTATTCACGGTCCCGTTTGGCCCCAGAAATTATAATTTTTGTAATAATATTTTTTTTAAAAAAAATATGTAGTTAAAAATGGAAAAAAAAAAGATTTGGGTTTATATTTAATATTATTTTATTAAAGAATGCGTGATTGATAAGAAAAAAAAAACTATAATTTTAATGGGAACCGTATGAGGCTAATTCCATTTCCGTACCACTATTCGATGGCTAAATAAAGATAATTGCATGTACCTACTACTTGGAAATATCAAGTGGATTTCGAAATCCTACTTAAATTTTCATCTTGAATGTATTTGTATTAGTCAACTACGACTAATATAAAAATATCTCCCTTTGACAATATACTCACACTTTAATCGAGATTAAATTTGTCTTAATGACGTTCTAATTATCTTATTACTCTCTCTTTTTGCAGCCATAGCATTTTGTAATTGATTGAGTCATCCAAAGAATGGAATATCTTAAGTCAACCATTATCCGCTTGAAAATTGAACCAAAAGCCATTTTCCTAACTTTCCCTCTCTTTTTTTTTTTT